TCCGTTTAACACGTGTTTGTTCTAGATATGTCAACGAGATCATAAGAAATTATACAGGCGTATTGTCAGTGAAACCTTGTCAGTAATATACTGTCTATGGCGAAACCCAAATGGAATAGCGTACGTACGTATAACTAATTAATGTTTGTCATCGTCATCGTCATCATCATCATCATCATCATCGTCGTCGTCGTCGTCGTCGCCGTCGTCGTCGTTGTCACCAATGACGGCATAGACCACGTGTAGAAGAAGCAGTATAATCAGCAGGTATTTTTTTTTAAATTCATCATACTAGTTGTTGATCATGGGTTGTGCGAGTAGTGCCGTCGTTGTGCCGATCCATGTTGCTGATGACAATACCCGAGTACCATCTTCAGGTGCGAGTATTCAAGTTAATGCTCATTTAACGAATCGCCAGCGAGAATCACTATCAGGAGAGAAAAACAGACCGATTGATTCCCACCTCCCTCATACCCCCTCAAAGGGATCGAGTTTCATGGTATGTGAATATATACGAATTTACGCCGCGAAAGAAGGGGTATTAGCACATGCAGAGGAAAAACAAACGTCGAATTAAATCACAGAGATGTGTGAAAAAAGTCCAAACAAGTAAGTTTTGTTACATACACCAACCTTGCAAAGAGACGGAACTTATTACATACGTAATGAAAACAGTTGCTTATTTCGTCACAGCTGCTTGTGCAATCAGTCAATCAATCGATCAATTTAACGCAATGTTATTTCTACAAAATATGCATCAAACGATGAAACAGTAGTGAAAGTGTGCAAGTCATTCAGCGTGATGTAAAAACAATCCTAACCGGACGTTAGGAGTAACTTTATAGTCGACGAAATCAAAATAAATTCGACGTTCTTGCGTGAAAGAATTCCCATGCATACAACAGTAGCCTTTCATTTGATTTGTTTACTTGTATATGATTCAAGATATGGTTGTCCAAAAATATGAGCAAAATTATTTTATTTGTTAACTATCATTTACAATCGGCTGACTATTCATATCCATTCCGTATTCCGCCTCATACGAATTAAACCAGGATTTACGGACGTCAGTGAATCGTGACTGTTCCCCTGTGTACGATTTTGTGACGTATTTTGTGAGTTTTGACAATAAACCTAAATATATTGTAAAATTTTTGTGTTGGACAATGATGATGTTGACATACATGTAGGCCTAAATTCGAGCTCTTCAACTTACAGATGTGTGTAAAAACAGTCACGTCTATATGAGGGTTAACTCATACGACTCAACGCCACAATGTCTGTTTTAATATTTATTTTTTATGTTCATGTTTATGTTCACATCTGTTCGCTTGAACCAGTGTCTATTGGTGCTAATAGACAACCAGAACATGAACTGGAAATTGATTATCTATACCTCGTGACGTCATACATCTAAGTGGTAAATTTGTATCTCAAAACTGTTGAAGCCGCCAATATCTAGATAACGGCGTTCAAAATACTGGACGTGCAAATGAATAAACTATGTGTATAGAGACTAGTTAATAATAGTAGTTTTGTTTTATAAAAAATAAATAAAATCTTTGCATTTCAGTTCCTCCATTATAAAAAAGAAAACTTGGTACGGAATGCAAGAGAAACCTCTATCACATACGTAAGCACTGATGGCGAGACAATGTAGAAATAGCAGAAATCGCGGCATCATTTTATAATCCCCAAGATAGTATTGGGAGCACTCGAGTGGGCATCAATCCAATGCCTGGGAAGAATTCGCTGCCAGTAGAGGAAACGCCGATTCGGTGAATAATCATCTAAATGAAGGAAGGAAAACATTCGGGTTATCACTATAGCAACAGTGGAAAAACGAGTTAAAAAATAATCTATGTTTCAGAAAGTTGCAAAGCATGCTAAAGTAACAACGTATACATCATGTGAACGCATTGGTATGGGCGATAACGGTAGTGGATATGTCGTATCAATGTTTGCCTAAGCGATTACTGGGACGGTAAATATATTACTAGTATTTCTTAGACGAATCCGACTATTAATAAACACAAATTTAGCACAATCAGTCAAACGACCGACCGACTAGGCGATCTTCAAAGTTACTAAAAACGACTTGCCGGTGGCATGTCAGTCAGTCAGTAAATGACTTTTCTCGTCAGTACTTGCCGGATATATACATGTTTTTACTTCGTGATTTATGGTCGACGAGTGTGGCTTTGAATTCAATTGTCTGTTTGCACTCTCCATCCACTATACACCATATACAGAGGCGGCGACACGAAATTTTGCGCGACCTTACTACGGGGTTCGGGGGTATGCTCCCCCTTAAAAAAATTTGAATTCTACACCCTCTGAAAGACTATTTCCTGCATTTTGAGGAGCAAATTTTGCTGATACAAAGGGTTTCAGCTTAATTTTGGAAGGGCGACGCCCCAAGGATTTTTCGAGAGCCCCCATCAAACCCCCCCCCCTGTGTCACCGCCACTGATATATACGGAAAATATCACACTTTTGAACGAGTGTCTCCGTCTATTGTACACCATATATACGGGGAATATCGCTCCTTGTGAGGG